TTTAGTGTACGATTCGAATACTCCGGATGTACATAAAAACACAATAATTGAATCAAGGAATGCTTCATTCTTTGAAGATGTATTTCCATGCAAGTCCAATGAAGGGCCTGGCACGTCAAAACGAACATTTGACGTAGCTATGGAAAATACTAGCGAGGGATCCGGAGAAGAACCTGAACCCAGACGTAGCAAACGTGCTAGAATTGAAAAATCCTTCGGACCGGATTTTCTCACCTACCTCGTAGAAGTTGACTCGGATATTCTAACATGTATGGTAGAAAATGAACCGGATTTTCTAACATGTTTGGTAGAAAATGAACCACGGACTTATACGGAAGCCGTGACGTCTACCGAAGGTCCTATGTGGAAAGAAGCCATCAAAAGTGAGGTGGATTCTATCCTTAAAAATCACACATGGGAATTGGTTGATCTCCCTCCGGGATGTAAACCTTTGGGATCCAAGTGGATTTTTAAACGTAAAATGAAACCAGACGGTTCCATTGATAAGTATAAGGCCAGACTTGTAATCAAGGGATACAAGCAACGCGAGGGCCATGATTATTTTGACACGTATTCTCCCGTGACGAGAATAAATTCCATTAGGATGATACTAGCGATTGCCGCTTTGCGGAAATTGGAAGTTCATCAAATGGACGTAAAAACCGCTTTTCTAAATGGCGATATAGACGAAGAAATCTATATGGAACAGCCTGAGGGCTTTCGTGTTCCAGGCCAAGAAAGGAAAGTGTGTAAATTAATTAAATCATTGTATGGATTGAAACAAGCTCCTAAACAATGGCACGAAAAGTTCGATCATGCAATGTTAATTAATGGGTTTAAAATAAACGAAAGTGACAAATGCGTCTATGTGAAGAGCACGGTAGACGGCTATGTCATTTTATGTTTATACGTGGATGATATACTCATCGTGGGTAGCAATAATCTAATGATTAATTCTACCAAAAGCATGTTAAATTCTAAATTTGACATGAAGGATATGGGGCTGGCCGATTTAATCCTTGGGATTAAAATAATTAGAGGACCTGACGGTCTAACGCTAAGCCAATCCCATTACGTTGATAAAATCCTTACTAAATTTAATAAGGATGATTATCAAGAGGCAAGGACGCCATTAGATAAAAACACTCATCTTACCAAAAATCGTGGAGAGTGTATTTCTCAAGTAGAATACGCTAGGATTATTGGAAGTTTGATGTATCTAATGAGTTGTACCAGGCCTGATATTGCCTTTGTGGTTAGTAAGCTAAGTAGATATACTAGCAACCCCGGTGATGAACACTGGAAGGCAATAATACGGGTTTTGAGGTATTTACGTAAAACCCAAAACCTTGGACTGCACTATGGAAGATATCCAGCTGTACTTGAAGGGTATAGCGACGCTAGTTGGATATCCGACATAAAGGACTCTAAGTCCACAAGTGGATATGTTTTCACTTTGGGAGGTGCAGCCGTGTCATGGAAATCCTCGAAACAAACGTTAATAGCTAGATCCACGATGGAATCTGAGCTAATAGCCTTGGATAAGTGCACTGAAGAGGCTGAATGGCTACGCCATTTTCTCGAGGATATTCCAAGTTGGGAGAAGCCTGTCCCTCCAATATGCATACATTGCGATTGTCAAGCGGCAATTGGAAGGGCACAGAGCAATCTCTACAATGGTAAGTCTAGACACGTTCGTCGTAGACATAACACCATTAAACAACTCCTCACAACGGGTGTTATCACTGTTGACTACGTGAAGTCAAAGGATAACATAGCGGATCCGCTAACCAAGGCATTGGATAGAGAATTGTTGGAGAAGTTGTCACGAGGAATGGGACTAAAGCCCGTGACTTTAAAAGTTCTATAGTGGATACCCAACCTAGTTGGTCCTAGGTTCAAAAGGGACAACTAAATTATAGAGCGAAGGATGGTCACTGTGGGGGTCCCGGACTCCTACCCACTCCTCGAACAGAAACCCTCCAAGGGAGTTCTGTTGGCTTCGGACAGAAGGCCTCGAACAGAAACCCTCCAAGGGGGTTCTGTTGGCTTCGGACAGAAGGCCTCGAACAGAAACCCTCCAAGGGGAGTTCTGTTGGCTACGGACAGAACCCCTCCGAGGGGTGTTCTGTTGGCTTCGGACAGAACCCCTCCAAGGGGTGTTATGTTGGGGTCTTCTGTCACGCATTTCTTCCGTTACAACTATTAATGCCCAACGTTCTTCTCTTTTAATGCTGCGTTAAATGGACAGTTTATGGACGATTCAATGCCCAACGGACTGGTCATTGATGTCCAACGTTCAGGTCCATTAACACCCCATTTAACACACAACAAATCCTCCTATAAATAGCTGACAAGTGCTTTGCAACAAACACACGGTTTGACAACGCACATCACTGTCCTCACATTTTCTTGAGCTAAAAACTCTTCCAGCTACTCCCAAAATCCTTCTGTGTTCATACTTGGTTCTCGTTCGCTGGAACTCTTGTTTGTGTGCTCAAACATTAGTTCGTAGTCATCGTATCCTGGGAAACGATTGTTGCAACGCCCCTAGCACCGTGGGAGACAACAAATACGTTTTAAGGAAATCGTGCGTAGCACGAGCTTTGGCTAATTCTGCTTCATCTCCTTTCTTGTTTTCCTCTAGTCATTTTATTTAATTAATTTATTTTAATTAATTTTCTTTATTTTCCGAAACACACCCAACATATATATATATATATATATATATATGGATGAGATCACATGCTAACTAGGCCTCCCATACAAACTACAAACTGATGTGGATCGTTGGATGGGATAAAACGATCGGCAGACAATTTGAGGAACATGGGAGTGCTTTATGAAGTGAGAGGTAGACAATCTCACCCAATTAACATCCGATTTGTAAAAGGGGGTATATGAGTCATTTGATGTACGGTAGCAGGAACGTGGGTTTGCTTTGTTTAGGAAGGTTTGCAATTGAAATCATTGGTTTTACGCCACCTCTCATTTAATTAACGTCCAAGCAAATAACTTCCATTTTTGCATGATTAATTATGAAGAAAGAAGAAATAAATTACTTCATGATTAATCTTCCAATTTTTAATTAAAAAAAGGTAAATTGAATGGAGAGCTCTAAATTCCAGAATTTGCAGGCACGTTTCATAATAAAAAAGCTAACCTTCCATTATGAAAAGAGTTACCCTTTTTATGCAATTTAACATTTCTCTCCATTTTTTTATGTGTTTATCTCTCCATGCCAAATGTGCATTGTGCACATTGTAGCATTGGAGATGCTATTTTAATTTACAGAATACGTTGTATCAACGACTTCCTATTTCAGCCGTACGTTTAAGGTCAAATAATCCACTCGAACGAGTAACGACCCATTAGATTTTGTGGGTATGTGGGCCTCTTTTATGAATTGTGTTTGAATGCGCCAAGCTCAGACTAAAAATCATGAACTCAACTCAAACTGAGCCATTTGGAATAAACGAGTGTTTGACCTAACTTTCAATTTGATTTTTGAAAACGGTTTGCATGATCCTAATCCTAGACTAATTCCTTGTTCCGCCCGCCTTCAACCAATTTCTTGGAAATTGGAGGATAAATAGATTTGAATTCATATGCACAAACTCAAGATATTATGAATAACAATGAGAATATTATTTTGTTGACATCTAAAACATCATGGATTTATACACTATCACATCAACTGGAATTTTATTATTTCCAGTGTAATATTCTCCTATTAAATACTCCCTCCGTCCCCTTTTAAATGTCCCATTTACCATATTGGGATGTCCCTATTTGATTGTCTCATACCTTATTTGGTAAAGTTTGTGTGGCTCAAAATCATTCTTACTTTATTCTTACTTTATCTATTAATATCAACCACACAAACCTACTTTTCTTAAAACTCGCGTCACCCTCTTTCGGGATATTTAAAAGGGGATGGAGGGAGTACTCCGTATCAGCCTATCAATTTTGCATTAAATATTCTTATAGACTAATTTTTATAAAGGGAGAACTTACAACCAATAATATTTGATTGTGCACTAGGGAAAACACGAATTGAGTTAATAAGACTATAAAACGTTGTGCAACAAGCTCGGCCTAGAAGGAGTTAATAAGGGAACTGAAGTAATGAACTTGTTACTACCTAGTGACTAGTTCCTTTGCTCCACCAACTCATAAATTTATTCAATGATTCTTGTTCTAACATATCACTATTTATATCACAATTGTATACTATTGCTCACATTTACATTAATATTCTATTTACAATTTGTTATCCTACAATTACACTTTTTATTTGTAATATATAATTACACTTTTTTCAGAATCTTTTTCCATGAATTAACTTCATTAGCCCCATGAGTATTACGTAAAACACACTTTTTTTTTCGACTCTGTCTTTGCATTGTCCACTTTTGAATTTTGATGTAGTTTTTTTGGTCATATTTCCAACACACTTGAGGAAATCTAAACACCGGAAATATAGATTGAAGCCTTGAAGGGCCATAGGTGTGCAAGTCTAAACACGTGGACCAAACATGAAATTTGTTCTTTTAATATTATTTCTCCATTGCATTAGGATTAACCAACGTTTGCTTTTGACAAATATGAGTTTATTAAATACCACCAATGCCCTTACTCTTTCATTTAATTTCCCCAATTTTCGCCTTTTATTCATTCCCTAAATATTTTAATTTCTTTTTAAAATCAATTATGTGATTTAAATTTTTTCATAATAAATCGAAACCAGCTGCACTTTTTATACGCATGTCACACGCAAATGAGAAACTAATCTGGGTATGGATGGAATAAGAACAAAACAGAAAAAAGTGTTAGAAGGAAGAGGACGATAGGTTATCTCCTAAGTAGCACGGAAATGGGAAACGCGAAACGCGAAACGGGAAACGCGAGAAACGTGATTTCTAGAAAACATAGGATATGAAACGTGGGGGAAACGCGTGAATATTAAAAAATATAAGGATATATTTGTAAATATTTTTTCATATGTATACAGATTTTTTCATTGATATATATGCACATGACATTTTCATATAACTTGCTTAATAGCCCAATAATAAAAGCATTCTACATGTTCAAATTTAGAAATTATTACATATTATTACATAATTAAACATAGAATGCAATTCATTCGTAGCAATTGCGTTATGAAATACCACAATGTTGCTACGAAGATGTAACACAAAAAATCACTATTTTTTAAGACACTATTTTCCATCATAGGACCTCTTAAAAAAGAAAAAAATTGAAAATTCACGGTTTCTGAAATGCTAATAATTTAGGGAAACGGGTTTCCCAATTCTTCTTAATTACGGAAACGGCCCCGAAACGGGAATTTGAAGTTTCCGAGTTTCCGACACGCTTTCGAGTTTCGGAAACTGGGAAACGTGAGCTGCGGAGAGTTTCCGTGCTTCATAGGTTATCTCCTGTTCTTGCATAGTATATTTATACCAAACCAAAGCCTTTTCATGTTAGGTGGCGTTCGCGATATGGCTTCTTGCATCAGATGATTTACAAAAACTGTGTTTCTCAACTGACGTCGACTCGTCATCATACTTTTCTCTAAGAGAATGAAAGTTGTACTCATCGCCATACATAGTTGCATCCGAGCTGATCTCATTAACATCAGCCTTACCTTCAAGCATTTGGACCACTGCAGACATGGTTGGCCGAAGCGCTGGTGACGGACTGGTACACAACAATGCCACTTTGATCATTCTCAAGGCCTCATCTCTGTTGAAATCTGATCCCAGTTTTGGATCTACCAGTTCCAGCAAATTCCCTTTCTTTTGTTGAACTAAAGCCTGCACAAAACAAGCATGCATATCCAGAGGGTTTCTGGGATTTATTTTTTTAAAGAAAGTGAAAGAAAAGGTAGGACTCACTAGGACATTAAGCTTTTATGATTTTAGGGAGAAAGAGTTATCGAGTCTAACCCAGTCAAGTAGGCAAACATAGTCCTCATCAGGCCGAAACTTCATGTTGTTTATCCCAGCAACTATTTCTAGAATCAGAATGCCGAAGCTATACACGTCTACTTTATAAGTCAAGTAGCCCCATAATGCATATTCAGGGGCCATGTATCCACTGTAGAACAGACAAAAGAGCATTTCTCTAATGTAAGAAGAGTTTTTTTTCAAATAAAATGACCATCAACTTTTATATAAAAATTGTGTACAACAACATACAAGCCTTAATCCCAAAAGAGTTTGGGATCGCCTAACATGAATCGACATATTAGCCGACCCCAAACTCTTTTGGGATTAAGGCTTGGATGTTGTTGTACTCATTTATATAAACAAATGAGTATTGAATACTACTGCTATGTTTTAATTCCCGAAATAGGATTCATTACTGCCATAATTGAAAAATACTACCATTAGTAGCAGTAAATAATATCATGTTAATGCCTAGTATCACAACTATTTTGGCAGTAATGACTCCAAGAGAGCAGTCCTATTTTGGAATTCCAAAACCTCTTTACTCCTATCTCGGGAACCTTCCCAATGAGCATTCTGAAGTTACGAAATAAACACATGTTAGAGAAAACGTATAAATACATGGATTAAAGTTACACTCAAAGTCTATACACCTAGACAGCCTTGACATTCAGCGCAATCATGGGGATACAACATTGAGGAGGAATTTCGGATCATTTGGTGTTAAGCTCAACTAGGTTTGCATCCCTTCTATTAATAGCACTTAAGACAATTGTAGTACTCCCTCCGTTCCTATTTTATCTTCCAAATAGATTTGGCACACAATTTAAGATAGTGGGTATTGTGTGGTGGAGAGTTGTGCAGAGGAGAGAGAAATGTGTAAGAAATGTTGTGAACCACAAATTCTTTACTAAAAAGGGAAAGTGGAAGTTTTAATTGGAACGGACGAAAAAGGAAAGTTGGAAGTTTTAATAGGAACGGAGGGAGTATGTATTTCTCGACAATGAAACACTGTGGTTTGACCGTGCGCCAAAGTAGTCTTGTTAAACAAATCTGTGCATCTTTTATCATTTTTCTTTATTATTTTTTCTTTCTTATAACTTTATTGGGGAAACTTTAGGTTATGAAGAAGAAAAGGTGACCCCATCCTCCCTCTCAGAGCCATATATGAAAAGCAGCTAATCATCAAAGGAATATAAAATAGCTCACATTGTTCCTGCAACTCTAGTGCTGATATGTGTGTTATCCCCTTCATCAAGTTTGGCCAAACCAAAGTCCGCAATTTTTGGATTGAGGTTCTTGTCAACTAGTACATTAGCAGCTTTTATGTCTCTGTGAACAATTTTTAGAGCTGACTCTTCATGCAGGAAAGCTAAACCTTTAGCTGTGCCAACACAAATTTTTTGCCTAGTTGGCCAGTCGATTGCCAGTCGTGATTCTTCTGGACCTTTAAGATATTTTGAAAGAGAAATGTCTGAGAAGTGGATTTAAATTTTGCACTTCCAGCCTCAAGATCCGTTTGGAACCCAGAAAAATACCAGGGAAGAAATAGGAAGGAAAACATATAGGAAAGTAAGAAAAAATGTAGGGGGATATAAAAGATATGCAAAAACACTCGAAGATTTTATTTTAGATATTTGTTGATACTGTTATTTTATATATCTAATGTTTTATATAGACTATGATCGAAATATATGTAACAGAGCTAATCAATTGTACTTTGTACTTCTCAATTAAACCCAGTTACTAAAACATAAATTCACCAAGTGTTTTTCCCCTTTCCCCAGCTTTTTATGTGATACATACATACCCAGAGTTTTCTCTTGTAAGTAAGAAATAAAAAAAAAACATGTCCTTATACCCCCCTCCCCCTTTTCTTTTTCTTAGCAGTTTGCAAGTATTGACAGAAAAAGAATAACAAAGGTGATGTTACCAAGCAGAGCACGGGCAAGGCTGTTGTTCTCGACATACTCATATACCAGTAGAAGTTGATGTCCATCTACACAGCATCCATAGAGTCTCACAACATTTGGGTGTTGCAAACCAGAGATGATGCCAATTTCATTCACAAATTCACGGTTTCCTTGTTTTGATTTGGAGGAAAGCTGCTTAACTGCAATTATGGTACCATCTAGTAGTGTACCCTGTTTATTAATCATCCAAAAAAGGTAGTAAGGTCATTTTGAGAAGGGGTCCTTGAACGTAACATACAAATTCACTCGTGGGATAGAGAAAGAGAAAAGAATTACATTTAAAAAAAATGTAAACGCATCCTAGTGAAATGTACCTTGTAAACAGCTCCGAAACCACCTTCTCCAATCTTATTTGCAGCACTGAAGTCATCAGTGGCAGCTTTAAGTTGTCTCAAGGTGAAGAAGCCAGTCTTCAGATCAAGCCTAGCTAGTTCTGCTCATAAACAACAGCAGATGGATCATTTACCATGAAAAAGAGAGTACATGATCAAACATATGAGATATAGAAGTGCGAAAGCAGGGTCTAAATGTATTAAAAAAATCACTAGACTTCAACATTTCTAGGAATACCCATGGCACAAGTATGTATGCTACAAGTATGATTTATGTAAAATACTGTGACGTGCAGGGCATTTGTGGGAGACTGGGAACCACCTTGTTGCTTTGAAATTTTTCTTTTGTGGTAGCTTATTCTCCAAACAATGCCAAGAACCATGAGAATGAAAATTAATGGAGTAGCCACTGAAACAGCTATAATAAGAGCCTTTCTGATGTCATTAGGAGGTTCAAAATCTGCAGAAGAAGAAACAGTTCTACCACATCAGATGTCATTGAGTTTACTTTTCTGTGGTCAATATTAAATTCCATAAGAGAGAGAGAGAAAACACACCATAAATAATACTCCCTCCATTCTTTTTTCAAAAATGCTTGGTGTACACAAAAACACCATTCGCACACCTTGTCTGTCTGGACACACAGAGTTGTCTAGAGTTGTCTGTGCACAGAAAAATTCTGTATTTCCAGGAAAATTGTCTACATACAGACAAGGTATGCGAACGGTGTACACGAAAAGGTGTACACCTAGCATTTTTGTTACTCCGTATTTTTTACTTGTCACATTTCCTTTTGGGAAGTTTTTATTATTTTTCATATTTCTATATTTGGAAACTTTTACTCTACTTTTTCATATTCTCTTTCCTACTTTTTCACTTTTGCTCTTTCTGTTTCCTACTCTTTCTACTTATTCTCCTTTTCCCTACGCTTTTTAGTTCTCTTTCATACCTTTTCTACCCAGATTCCACTTTTAATCTTTGTGATAAGCTTACAATGACAAGTAAACATAACGGAGAAAGTAATAGTAATAATAATAATACTACTCCCCCATCCAAAAAAGTCGTGATTGGTCAAGGTGTAACTTTCAATTTTGGAAATGTACTGACCTTAAAAGTTATTACACCCTACATACATAGTATATTTTCAAGGCAAATTCTAACTATAGCCCTAAAGGCCTAAACCCTTGGCTATGGTTAAGAATTAATTACAACTCACAAGGATTTCTTTTGTAACTTCAAGGAAAATAAGCAATTATTTATGTAAAATATTTTCAATTTGCACATGGAAATATGATTTAGTGTAAAGAAATGTGACCTTTGCATTAATTTTATCACACATTAATGAACATTTTGTGTTCGTTGGAAAACAATAACATTAATCATGAAATCTTTAAAGATGAACCGCTGCCCTAAAGACTGTGGTTTGAAGTACCTTTTTCTTAATTATTTGTTTGTTTAGCTATATATATCACATTTAACTTAATTGTAAGCCTTTTTGGACAAATTACACGAAGATCTTTGCTTGATCAGCTAGCGCCAATTTTTGGGATAAAAGTAATAAATAAACATTATTTTGGGGACTATGAGTAATATAGTAATATTATATTATTGTTATTACCAGATACTACAGAGATAGCTGACACTAAAGAGCCATATTTTCCTCTTACTGGGACTGCTGTCGTCCCTTTCCCAGCATAGTGAAAGCGTATTTCTAGAGTCTTGTCTGTGACAGTCGCCTTAAATTTTAGCTTTATGGGTATATCAACTCCTTGCGCTTTACTTTTAATGTCAAAGTCCTTCAACACACGTAGACCCTGTGAAATTTTCTACAAATTTTGAGTGAATTGCCTAATAGTTTATAGAATAATGCGTCCACTGCTATATAAAACTCCACCTGTATATAAACATCAAATAACCGTCTTCCAAGACTTTGGAATGACCTATTATCTCTTATAACAATTTCGGCAAAATGTAGAGTGATCGTATAGTTTCCATTTGCCAAGCAGCGTCCATAATAAGTCAATGATAAAGGAGAGACACGAGCCGTTGTGTAAAGTTCAGTTTCATTTCCCTTTATGACAGATACATTACTTGCTGTATAGTCAGAAATGGTTCGGTTTCTATCCCAAAAGTCTCCTGTACTACTTGTAACCCAATTCTCATAGGGGTGAGCAAAGTTTGTTGAGCCTGCTGAGGTTTGATCGTCATCATAAGAAGTTTCTCCAACCACAACTTTGGAACCAGCACAATTTATATGGAAGGAATACCAATCTGCGGAGAGAAAAAGAGAAAAAAGAGAAATTGCATACTATGCAAATAAGTGTACAAATTCAAAAAGTGCCAAAATAAATGGTATATTTGTTCATCAATTAATGTTGGTGAATGAATGAAAAAAAGGTGATGGCTGATAATTAATCTATCTGTTCTATAAACTTCCAGGTAAGAACAATCATGTTAGTCCAAATGTACAAAGAGTTGTAGAATTGCACTTGCCCTTTGAGCAAGAACTCAAGCATTTCCCTGCTTCTCTACAAAAAATCACAGAAGAATGTCACAAGTCACAACAAGACTAAGCTGGACAGACCTAGGAGAAGTAAGAAAAGGAAAAATTATATCCAATTGATTCAACTCAATAGAGTTAAATCTTACCCATTATCCCATCCGCTGAAGGTTTTGAACAAGTTGCTGGAAACGGAATAAAAAAACATTATGAATGCATTTCTGTTAGAACACTGATAAATCAACAAGCAAAGACAGTAAACAAGCTCACAGATCTAATCTGAAAGTAGAGAAACTGCAGTTTATTGATAGGGTAATCCGTAGGAAACTCCGTGACAGGGACAGGGACTTCTTAGGCAACCGGGACTTAGGCAACAAGGCAACAATTCTCAAAATAACCGTCTACCCTTATTAGCTACCCAACTTACTATTTATATTAGTAGGTCCACGCAGGGACTAAAATAGAAAAATAGACTCAATAAATGACCCCAGCCCACTAATTGACCTCAGCCCATTTTATTTCTCCTTTCAAATACCCTATTAAAATACTTAAACAGGCAGATTCCTATCAATTTCTTAAGAATCTTTATTTTTTAACATGAATGTAAATATGGGACTTACAAGCTGTCGCGACAAGTTGATGGAACAGAGCTCTCGGTGAAGTTATTGTATGAAATATCTATTTGCCTGCAAATGAAATGTAAAGATTCTTAGAGGATACCTTGAGTTGCAGAAGATTTATATATACATGAATAACATTTCGCTGAGAAAGTAGCAAAACTACACTAATTAACAAGCACTAAAGAAGTGATTTCAAGATTTAAATTAAACTTACGTTCTGGGATCTCGACTTATCATCCATTCTGGTACAGGCCCAGTAAAAGAGTTGTTTGTCAGTAACCTATCAGGTTGGACATCATTTTAGTGCATAAGAGTTATACTCTAATATTCTATGAAGAATTTCACAAAGTATGAAGCTGGAAATTAAAAATATTCCCTCTGTCCCCTTAAAAGAGTCATATTTCACATTTTCGCCACAGTACAACTTTTAATTTTAGTTAAGGTTTGAAATCATTAACTTTAGCTATACTTTCAATTTTTTTATTAACTATAACATATTACCTCCGTCCCACTCAACTTTGCCAAGTTGATGTTAGGTGGGAAATTAGAATAGTAAAATTTGTGTGGTTGAGGTTTGTGCAGAGGAGAGAGAAATGAACAGAGCCACAAAAACATTGTTTTGAAAGGAAAGTGGCAAAGTTTTTTGGGACAAACAAAAAAGGAAAGTTGGCAAAGTCCAGTGGGACGGAGGGAGTATTTGTTTGGAACACTTTTCTACTAAGAATGTTGAAAGTATAAGTTACTTTTGTTCAAATAGAACTCCCTTTTTAGAATGGAGGGAGTATTTTCTGTGAAGTACTTTCTTTGTTTTAAAAACACTAAAAAGCTATATTATTCATTCTGGACTCCGCATGGAGAGATTTAGGTATGAAAAGATGAACGAACAGACAGGGGAGAAGTGACCGTATTGTTTTGGTACGCACATCATCTCCATATTACTCAGGCCATCAAGACTTGGAATTTCACCTTCCAGATTGTTGAAACTCAGATCTCTGTAAAATTGGGTAGGGGGTGCATCTTAGCCAGAATCTTTTTGCATGTGCCGCATAAATGGAAATGATAGCTAAGGTACATAGAGCAATGCATCTTAACCCTATTGTGTTTATTTCTATGTTAATTACGTATAAAAATGATGATAACCGTTTTAATTTTTATCTACAATTCATTAATACATACTTCTTGCAAAGGGATAATCCAGAAAATTTTAATAAAAGAACCAAAAGCAACAAAAAATTACAGAGAACGCAATGGCGTCATACTGCCCACAAAATCTGGAATCTTCCCGGATAAATTGCAGCTCCTCAACATCCTGTGACAACAACTCATTCCACCAATATTATGGAAATAGGGAAAGTTTGACATATCTATCAAGGAACTAAAAGAGTGTTACTTACAACTTTTGCATGGTTGTCATGTTTTTTAACCAGGGAAACACGGAGGCACCTCCATTCAAGTCACTAATTCTTCTGCAGATTCATTTCAAAAGATTAATAGGCTTGACAACTGCTTCTCGTAGACGAAATTTTGCTGAAGCATTTACTCACAGTTCAGTTAAGTTGGTTAATACAGAAATGCTTGATGGTATTGGTCCTTCAAAACCACCAGCTTCAATCTCTCTTCACTCATAAAGCAAAAGTTTCATGTAAAATATAACAAACAAGTCGAAATCTTGGTGGAAACTGGAAAGGCTTACAAGCTTTGAAGGTTTTTCCAGGTCTCGAATCTAGGCAATTTCCCGCTGAAGTTGTTCTGGCTCAACCTACTGTATTGGATGAATTGTAATTAAAACAACTGAATGCATTTTTGCTTTGGAAACTGATAATTAAGTCATGCCCGCGTACATTTCTGTCAACTTGGTCAAAGTATTCAATTCCATTGGGAGCTCACCGCTGAGATCGTTTGCAGAGATAATGCTGCAAAAAATACAGGAGAACATATGGAAGAAACGGGGAGCAAGAATATCAAAACTGAATTAGTGAGACAGTTAGAAAGTCCATACAATCTCTCTAAATTGACAAGTTTCCCTAGTTCCTTTGGAACAGTTCCGTTAAACATGTTATTCTCCAGACTCCTGAAACAGTTATCAACTTTGAAGAATCCCAAATAAAGATATCATGTGCGTGTCTGTAAAGTGCAAGGCAAAACACATACATTATAGTAAGAGTGGTTATATTTCCCAAATATGCTGGAATGGGTCCTGATAATTTATTTACAGCAATACTTCTGCAAAACCACGTGTTAGTTAAAAACAGGTTTGCATTGCTTGATAGGTAAGTAATAGGGGAGAAACTCACATGAATTGCAGTTTGGTAGATGCCCATTCACGGGGTATTGTCCCACTTAAATAGTTACGAGTAAGGTCACTGCAAGAAATGAAGAAACTTTGATCAGGAAATCCAAATATCATACTCCAACTATAGTAAACATGGAGAGAAACCCAACTATGTATAAGGAAAATCATGTACATCTTCTTGAGGAATGGTAACTTCGACAAAGAAGGGGGGAGGACGCCTGCTAAATCCTGTCCGTTGAGTGCTCTACTTGCATAAAAAAAACTATGACCATTTGACATATAAATTTGCAAAAGAAGGTACAGAAACAAATAAAAGGATGAAAGAACATACATGGTATCCACATGGCAGGAACCATCACCATATGTACAATTGCAGAGAAGAGAATTTTTATAGCCTGGCCTGTCAATCTGCAGTGGTGTGTTCCAGCTTGGGTCCCCATCACACGGATTCAGGCTAGAGTTCCAGCCCTTTTTCCCTAACTGAGCAGCTATTTCAGCAAGAGCTCTCACTGAACATTCCAATTTTAATATCAGTAAAATTATAACATTAAAGTTGTAACTTTCAAAAACGCATACATGTTACCCTTGTTATCCAGAAATGTGCTTTAAATAAGTATTTCTTTTCCATTTCTAGACCTCGCTTAATCCTTTTAAGCACGCGAAGCTTTTATGATCACATTAAAATGGCAATAAGCAAACTTCATGATTAAACAACTGCTATTACAGTAAATCTACCGCGCACGCCGCCCTTCTAGCTAAACAGAAAGTGCTTAGAAGTTGCAAGAACTTACCTTCAGTCTGTGGAAGAGGAAGAGCCGGAGCTTGAGCTTGAATGTAAATGGGCTTGAAGCAGAAGATCGACAAAAGCAAAAAGAGCCCAGCATTGGAGCTCAGAAAGGTTTTCTCCATCTCTCAAGAGTTCAAGATTGCGGCGCATAAGCAGACAACATTGAATTATTTATAACACTTATCTATTACTCTCTCTCCAATTTTTATATTACATTATTTCTTACCTCATTTCTGATCATACCTGATGTTTAAAAACATGAGTACTCATACTTGTCATACAGAAAAGTATGAAAATTACTGTGGACCGGAATACTTCCTCTGAACTTCCCCAAAGCTAAGCGACCATGGCAGCTTCAAAGACGATAGTCAAGGTTCATTTTTCCCTTTGAAAAGTCCATCTTATTACAGATCATCATCATCACTATCCTTACCCCACGGGTGGGATAAGAAGGTCTTACACTTCAATTTTTGGAAAGCTAATTAGTCCTTTTAAATTACGTTTGAGTGGATAACTTTAGTTCACCCTAAAAGTCAAAGGACCATGCAAGTCAATTGTTGTTTTATTACATGAGATATATTTTTATACTTAAGAAATTGTCCCAACTAAAAAAAATGTGAATAATTATTTCATTTAAGAATATTACAGATTATATTTTTATTTTATGTAGGAATAATTATTGTCATATTTTAAAAACATTGTTAAATAATATAGTATTATGCATTAATACTGTTATGTTTATGTTTTGTAATGCTAAGCTATGACATTATATTCTCATAGGACAGCAAATTACTCATATTTAGATAAATATATAAAATTTATACTTTAAAATCTTACATTATTTTAACTCTTATTTGAGATCCATTTATATTTTTTGATAGTCAATAAAACATTTGAATTGTGAAAGTCAAACTATATCATTTAAATAAAACCATGAAGTAAATCAAACTAAAGCGAAAAGTAATTATTGTTCATAACAATCCAAAGCTCATTCATTCATAAAAAACAATACAACAATCATACGTAATAGTAATTAATAAAAATGCAAAATATATGTTACACATTTACAAATTACAATTTCCAAAATAGAGAAAACGTCTAAATGAAAAGACCTTTATGAACAAACTATACATGCTATATCGTTACAACTTACTCCCTCTGTCCCACTGGGCTTTGCCAACTTTCCTTTTTTGTTTGTCCCAAAAAACTTTGTCACTTTCCTTTTAATGCAGTGTTTTTGGGGCTTTGTTCATTTCTCTCTCCTCTGCATAAACCTCAACCACCCAAATTTTACTATTCTAATTTCCCACCTAACATCAATTTGGCAAAGTTGAGTGAGACGGAGGTAATACATGATATGGAGTATGACTGTATGAGTAGTTACATTAATACACAGTTTAAACATCAATATATTTTCCCCACAAAAATCCTCTGTCGGACTCAGCCATTGGTACTGCAGACTGGTTTATTTGACAACACAAAGTTCTGGCTAGAAGGTGGATGATGAAGAAGGGTCATCTCCTGTTTTTGAACTATGTGATTGATAAAGACTGTGTTTCTCAGTTGACTTCATCTCGTCATACTTTCCCCTAAGTGCATAAAAGTTGTACTCATCGCCAAACATAGATGCATCCGAGCTGAGTTCATTAATATCGGCCTCACCTTCAAGCATTAGGACAACTGCAGACATGGTTGGTCGAAGCGCTGGTGATGGACTGGTACACAACAATGCCACCTTGATCATTCTCAACGCCTCCTCTCTATCGAAATCCGATTCCAGTCTAGGATCTACCAGCTCCAGCAAATTCCCTCTTTTTTGTAAAACTAAGGCCTGTAAAACAATCATGTATGATGATCAACAAATATGTATGTTATATACTTGGATACACACATATTAGAGAAGGTTCTTAAGAGAGAACAAATAAACACATCTTTCTGAGTGAGAATTTTAAATTTTCAGCTTTTATTTTGTAATCACTGACTAGTATTTTGCAGGTGACATTTTTGTTATGTAAAAAACACCTCATTTGAGTGTATGTAATTCATAAGAAAACCACTATAAATGTTAGCCAGATTAAAAAGAATGAATGTGAAGATCAAAAGCTTTCAAAACAAGATCTATTTATGATAAGAAGTGTTCTACGTAACAATCCTCCCATCTTGTCATAAAGATATATATATACATACACATACATACATATATATATATATATATATATATATATATATATATATATATGAAGTGTAAAGTTGTGCCAAGTAGGCAAACATAGTTCTCACCCAGTCAAGTAGGCAAACATAGTTCGTTTCAGGCCCAAACTTAATGTTGTTTATTCCAGCAACTATTTCGAGAGTCAGAACACCAAAGCTGTACACATCTACTTTGTATGTTAAGTAGCCCCATAATGCATACTCAGGGGCCATGTATCCACTGCATAAAGAGCATACAAGAAATTAAGGGCTCCACTTTTCTTAGGTGCAAAGATATATTTCTGGTTTAGATGTTTTTTCTAAACCAGAAAAACTCAGTGGAGGTAGAGAGTCTAACTTTGAAGGACCAACATATAAGTGGTTTCTTTTATAACTTAAAAGTTAAAAACCAATATATATTTTCTCACATTGTACCGGCGACTCTAGTGCTGATATGAGTGTTCCCCTCTTCGTCAAGTTTGGCCAAACCAAAGTCTGAAATTTTTGGATGGAGGATTTTGTCAAGAAGTACATTACCAGCTTTGATGTCCCTATGAACAATTCTTAGAGCTGACTCATCATGCAGAAAAGCTAAACCTTTAGCTACTCCAACACAAATTCTTTGCCTACTCGGCCAGTCTATTTCCAGCCGTGTTTCTTCCGGACCTTCAAGAAAATTTGGAAGTGAAATGTATGAACAAAAGGATTTAAAATTTTGTACTCTAACCTTCTAGTTATATCTTTGCAACTATTAACGTAACAGAAAGAATAATCAAGGTGATTTTACCAAATAGAGCACGTGCAAGGCTGTTGTTTTCCACATACTCGTATACCAGTAGAAGATGATTTTTTTCTACACAGCATCCATAAATCCTCACAACATTTGGGTGTAGCAAACCAGAGATCATGCCAATTTCATTTACGAACTCACGGGTTACTTGGGCTGACTTGGATGAGAGCACCTTAACAGCTATTATGGTGCCATCTAGTAGTGTACCCTTTTATTAACAAAGAAATGCTACACAGTCATTTGTCCATGTCATCCATATCTAGTTATGCATCAAATAATTATGCAGTATATAGCATCAGTCCACTCAAGTTTGGTCAGAATTTTGTTCTTTTAGTTAATTTCGCTCATTTAGAAATTCATTTTCAAAAAAGGATCCACCCATGATTAGGGAAGAAAGAAATAAGGAAATATATTAGATTATTACAAGGGGTTCCCCATCCCGCAAGAATGCAAGATGATGAGTTGTTGGTGTATATCAATGTTGTAATTCAGATTCTTTTAAAGTCTTAGTTGGATCAATTACTCGTTTGAGTTTAGTTGATACTGATATTATCTTATAGCTTGAGATTCTATTCCAAACAATCAAACTAATAGGATTACAAAGTTCTATATGTTGGTATGTGTCTTTACGACGATTGGCTAGTGTAGATGGTTTAACAAAATATTAAAGTCAATACATGGGCCAATTCACAGCTGGGGAGGGCCTTGTAAAATATTCACTTGTTGGAGAGTATATGCATGGTTGGTTTGTCTCTTTATACTTAACCTAAAATAGATGATTTAAACTGCCCATATGTAGTGGGTAGTTGAAGCAGGTCAATCTTGAAATTTTTGTACCTTTTTAGTTTTTTTCGGATCGATTGCTCGTTTGAACTTAATTGATATTTTGATACTATAACAAAATATGGAGTTTCATACTAAATTCTCAAATAGAAGCAGTACAAAACTCTATATCTTGATTTTTATCTGAATTGACCGGTGTATGATGACTTAATAAAATATTAAAGTCAGATTAAAATATACTACGTACCTTGTAAACTGCTCCAAAACCACCTTCTCCTAGTTTGTTTTCAGCACTAAAGTCATCAGTGGCAGCTTTGATTTGTCTAAAGGTGAAGATACCAGTCCTCAGATCAAGCCCAGCTAGTTCTGTACATGATACACAAAACTAAGATACATTTCTCATGTACTCGTAATAGAGAGTCGATGAGTCTAAGATATGTGTGCATTCAATGTTTATAATTCGCGTCCTTGGTTGGTGAGAGAATGAAATCTCTATGTATGATATGCTTAGCAATGTAAGAAATAGGCCATGTGTGGGAACCACCTTTTTCCATTGCAAGTTTTCTTCTGGAGTATTTAATTCTCCAAGCAATACCAACCAGTATGAGGATGACAAGTAAGGGAGTTATCACAGACGCAGCTATAGTGGGATTCAGCCTTTTGTGATTAGGAGGGCTGAAATCTGTAGCATGAGAAATACAATTACAAAGAGAGAATTAGATAAATGACTACTGCATCCAGAAAATATAACAATGAAAAAAACAAGCATTGGGTTACTCCTATTATTTGGTTAACCTTTTAAAACAGAAACAAATCTTAATAATAACTATTTGCTCTGTCCTATTATGTTATCAGCACTTTCTTTTCTCGTCTCACTCAAAATTCTTAACAATTTCCAGATGTGAACTTCACTAACTTTTTACTTGCCTACTTTATCGTTTGATTTAACATTCCTCGCACTATCATTTTCCTTCTAGATTGTTATTATTCTAAAATAACAATTATCTCCTTTATTTTATAAAACCTGTGCCAAACCGCCACATGTACCTACATTTTGGAACATTAAAGCATGAATAACAAAAATCATATTTACTTCTTCGCAAAAAAAAATCATATTTACTTGATACTACAGAGATAGCTGATACTAAAGAACCATATTTTCCTCTGGTTGGGACAGCTGTAGTCCCCTTCCCGGTATAGTGAAAGCGCACTTCTAACGTTTTGTCGGTGACGGTTGCATTGAATTTCAGTTCTATGGGTGTATCCACTCCATGAGCTGCACTTTTTATGTCAAAATCATTTAAGACGCGTACACCCTGTTGGAAATGCTACAAATTGAGTGAATCACATCATTTAATTTGAAAAAAATGTCCACTGCTATATTAAAATTCACCTGGATATAAACATCAAAGAACCGTTTTCCAAGACTACGGAATGATCTGTTATCTCTTATAACGATTTCTGCGAAACGTAGAGTGACAGTGTAGTTTCCATTTGCCAAACAGCGACCGAAGTAAGTCAAAGATAAAGGAGAGACACGGGCAGTCATGTAAAGTTCAGTTTTATTATTTCCCCTGATAACGGATACATTGCGTTCTGTATAGGCAGAAACGGTTCGGGTTGCATCCCAAAAGTCCCCTGTGCTACTGGCAACCCAATTTTCATATAGGTGAGCAAAGTTTGTAGAGCCTGATGAGCCTTCATCGTTGTCATAGGTGTTGTCTCCAATTACTACTTTGGGACCGCCACAATTTATATGAAAAAAATACCAAGCTGCAGCAAGAGATATCAAGAATGACTATAAAACCAATGACATGTTTATTTGTGAACAATCCCACATCAAAATACCAGTCATACATGTGCATTTATGGAATTAATTACTCTATAATGTGTGTATGGATTACTATCTCTATTTGTGCTTACCCTTAGAACAGGCCATCATGCATTTCCCAGCTTCTCTATACATAGTAAGAAAAGAAAAAAAAACAAGTCAGAACCAGCCTAATACCGAAAAAATAACTGGAGTCTAGCTCTTTCCCATGAGTCCTTGTGAAGAAACCATATCTTACTCATGATTCCACCCAGGGGAGGATTTGAATACATTGCTGAGAAATAGAAGGAAAGGTCATTAGCAATAATCAATCCCATCTGCAAGTAATCAAAAGAACATTGAAAGCCTTACAAGCTCTCACGACAACTAGACGGGACAGAGCTCTCACTGAAGTTATTGTAAGAAATATCTACTTGCCTGCAAATGGACTCTTTTACATTAGGTGTCTAAATGTACAAATTTTGCTATACACATAGAGCATATAATTAATAACCTTCTTTTAGTTGAAGAGAAGAAAAGGCAATAAACATAAAACTAAATATACTTTCTGGGATCTTGAACTTGCATCCAGTCTGGGATTGACCCATTGAAGGAGTTGTTCGTCAAAAACCTAACATGTAGACATCATTTTAATTGGTAAGAATAATGGTGTCATCCAAGTATATCCACTGAATGACAAATTAGAACATTGCTCTTTATTGTAAAACATAGTTTTTTCAAAAATTGAAATACCTAGATTTTATTCCTTAAGTTCAACTTATGTGATCCTCAGTTTGGAAAGGATGATAGCGGCGGCTAGAGGCGGTCCCGTGGTGGTGGCAGTGGAAGTGATATCAAAAAGAAATGTTTTGGGCAATTTAATATGAAATGTGTTCTCATTACAAACTTACAAAAATGTTACAAACATGTGATGGTGTCGGGTGTAATTGCCAGTGCTATAAAAGTGATATGATATGTGGTATGAAAAATAATCCAAAACTATTAGCAATCCTCCTATATTAATCCAACCTATTAGTGATTCGAATATAATCCAAATTATAATGAGTATCTTTTTAAAATAAACCGGTGGCCTGCATAAACCAATTCAGCCGGTCACCCGCACACGTGTCGACGTGTCGTATGGTTATTGGCGGTTCTGTTTGCTTCTCCCTTTTTTTCTTTTATTAGTTGTGAAATTAGTTTTGTTTAGAAAATTTATTTCGTGCTACCGATTCATTAGTTTTTAATAAATAACATTTTCTTATTTATCTAATATATGCTTATTTAGTGCTACTTCATTTTGGTGGAATATTTGCTTATTTATTGCTACCTATTATTTAGATTTTAATCGCATTAGGGGATTTAGTTTTTTACCAATCTATCAAATATTTCCTTATTTATTATCACGTATTTTTTGTACAAAATTGTATGTTTTGTGGTTAAGGAAAAAGAACACACAATTCATGTTACACAAATAGAAAGAATAAACTAAGAAAAGACTTGATTGTAAATCATTTGCCGGCTAGCCGGCTCTATAGATCAGTAACCTAAGTAAACACAAATTATATTCTCCCTCAAACATAGTTGACAAAAAGATATAAATCTCGTGTTTGCGAATGAGTGTGAAGAAGTACTCTCTTTACATTAATAATACATTATGCATTTGTGTGTAATTTACTTACACAACATATTAAAATGAAATATAAATTAAAACTAAATTTGATTTGATTGTCTAGGGCCTCAAATTTGTTGTAGACGGCCCTAGATTTGTCTTCCTTAGTTAAATAGTTTTACTATTCTTGAACCAATAAAAACGCCAAATCAGTTGAAGAAGTTTTAGATCTAGTTTGTTAACACTAAAAATGGCTGAATCCGTTAATTCTGCAGAAATTTATGAAGCTTCGATTGAAGTGGATGTATTGGCCGATTCTGTTGATTTATGAAAAATATTATATTTAAAATAATTTTTTATTAATAAAACAAGAAAAAATATACTCCCTCCGTCCCGCAAAATAGTTTCTGGTTTCCTTTTTGGACCGTCCCAAAATATAGTTCACATTTCCCTTTTTGGAAAGTTTTGTGTGTCTATCATTTATTTACCTTTTTCTTAGTAAACTACAAGTCTACAAGCATACATTTCCACTTTTTCTTAGAAAACTCCTTGAGTACTTGTAAATTTCAGATTATTTTAGAATTATGTATATTTAGGATTAATATTGGAAGACCATGAATAGTTGAGACTTGAGATTATTAATGTGAATTTTTCCTATGATATAATCCGTGTTAAAAAATACTAGTATGATGTTGATGTATAATTCTTTTGAAACACTTTTGTTAAACTGTGTATTAATATGTACTTCTAACATAATTCATTTAATATTGTTTAATACTATATTTATTTGTAGCCCGTTTTGGTTCTACTTAAAAACACATTCATGACAAATATACAGTATAATAAACTTTTTGGGGGTAAAAGAGTATGAATGAATGAATGAATTTAATAATAGCTCTAACCTATGATAGCTCTTTTGTAATTTTGTCAAATCTGATCAGTATATACATAATAAAGTACTAGTATAAACTACTCCGTATGTGGTTAATTTTGAAAAGAGATGAGAGAAATTATAAAAACCATGAATGAATTAATTACTTACAAGTAAAGTGACAATCTTTTCGAAAAAAGAAATTGTCAAAAGTTTTTAAGCAAGCAAGAGGTAGTATAAAGCTATGTTTCTCTTCAATATTCCAATGTGATACTCTCTGTAGGTGTTCCATGTTGACTAAAAATAGAACTCACATCATTTCCATATTTGTCAACTCCTTAAGTTTTGGAACTTCACCTTCAAGATTGTTGAAACTCAAATCCCTGTGCAAAAGGATACAATCACTGTGTTAAGCTGAACTAAATTAAAGAGCAAAGATGTGGATAGATGTTAGAAATAGTAGAAGATTTAGTACATAAGTCGCAACGACATCATACTGCCCACATAATCGGGTATCGTCCCGTACAAATTACAACTCCTGAACGTCCTGTATACATAGAGAGACCATTTACTTTGACATTATGAAAGTTGTGAAACATTGTTATATATATATATCATAAGGAGTAATGAATTGAAGTCAGGAGTGCTACTAACAACTTAGCTAAGTTGCTCATGTTTCTTATCATAGGGAACTCAGAGGCACCTCCAATCAAATCTGTGATTCTTCTGCATAATTATATATTCAATAAGAGAGTTGCAATAAGGTTAGGAAGTCATCTTGAATAGCATATATATGGTGATGATCCATTTTTGTGTCTTGAAAAGCACTTACGTACTCACATATCAACTAGTTTGATCAATGATGAAATGTTGAATATTGGCCCTTCAAAACCAGCTGCTTCAATCTCTCTGCCAATTTATTAAACACATAAAAAAGGCACTCGCATATAATAGTCTTAGTACACTTGTGTACATAAATGTGGGCAGAAAGGCTTACAATTTTTCAAGGTTTTTCAACGCCTCCAAGCTAGGGAATTTCCCAGTGAAGTTATTTCGGCTCAGTCTACTACATTATTACATGTCAAATGAAGTAAAAATTAAAGAAAAAGGACTGGAATATCTCTGATTCTGTAACTGAAAATTAGGATATAATGAACTCACAATTCTGTCAACTTGGACAAATTATTCAATTCTATAGGAAGCTGACCTATAAGACTGTTTGCAGAAATAGTGCTGGAGGGATAGAGAGCAGAGGAGCATAGATCAAAACAAAGAAACTATCAGCAACATCAATTTTGATCTTTTGTGACACTTGAATATATGTACCCCTCAGACGTAGATGGTTTTAATTTTTTTTTATTAGAGCATACTTATCACGACGGATTTTCGGTAAAACTAGTGTCATAACGTTTTGATTGTATACTTCTAACTTCGATTTCAGTCAAAATAGACGTTGAAGAAAATAATTCTTCAAAAAATCATTTATAAACATCAGTTATAATGAAAGTATGAAAGTAATATCCCCTCTTGTACTATTGAAACCATCCAAATCCCTTCATCCAAACAGATTGTTAGTGACTAGAAAGTCCATACAGTCTTTCCAAATTGAAAAGTTTCCCGAGCTCTCGAGGAACATTTCCACTAAACATGTTGTTCTCCAAGCCTCTGAAAGTAACCATCAAAGTTTCAAAATCATAGACATGAGGTTCTTGGAAGAGTAATGATCTAATATACGCGTTAATGAGGAATAAATAAGTGTAAGGCGAGATACATTCGTTGGAGTGTGCTCATATTTCCTAAGTACTTTGGAATCGGTCCAGACAATCGATTGACAGAAAGAACCCTGCATAGTAAAGTTTTAAAGAATAAGATTGGGTCTAACACAAACCAAAACAGCAGATCACACTCTTTAATGTAACAAATAACACTAGAAAATTCAAATAATGACAAATACATGACTAAAACAAAAATGAATTTTATACTCAATTACGTATTTTCTCATTTACTATGGGTCATATGGAAACAGTCTCTATGTGCTTTAGTACATGGATAAGAAGATTGCGTACATCCGACCCTCCCTTACCTCACCGAGGGTGTGGGAGCCTTTGCGACGCTGGGGTAATGATGATGATGACGTATTTTCTCATATACCAACTTACCATAGTGGTATGCAGTCACAGCTTTTACTCCGTATTTCATAGGTAATAATGGAGGTGAAATGTGAAACTCACATGTGTTGCAGTCCCAGAGACACCCATTCCTGGGGGATTGTTCCATTTAAATAGTTCCGAGTAAGGTCACTGCACCAGTGAAAATGAAATTTTATTGATGGAGAAACTCAATCCTTAACCTGACTTTAGCAAAGATTGATAAAGAGAAGCCCAACTACATAGGGAAAACTTCAGTACATGAGCTTGAGAAACTGCAACTTGTACAAGGAAGGGGGGAGGACACCCGCTAAATCCTGTCCCTTCAGAGTTCTGCTTGCATAAAAAAGAGAATGAAATAATGAAAAATGTATGAATAAAATAAATATGATGAACAAAGTTACAAAACTTTATAGTATACTTTCAATGCACTTTTACATAATCATATTTTGACATTGGCCATGACATAGTGCAATCATCTTTTAGTCATATTTTCATTCATACCTTTTCTTTATGGCCCTTTTTCATTAATATTACTAAATTAAATTTAAAAAGACTAAAATACGACTTATTTTTAATTGTCCAAGAATGATATATTCAGTGTCTAGTTCTCAGTGACTCATCATATATCAATGACTTGTCACTATAAAATACACTACAGTTATTCTTGTCCAGTTACACAAAGAGTGACTCATATTTTTGTCTAAAAACATAACTAGTCATATTTTTGTTCGGAGAAACTCCGTTAGTAATATACATGTAATTTTTCCTTTATTTATTTTTCTTCACATAAAACTTTATCAATTTTCCTTATTTAGTCATCCCAAAAAATTACGGATTACGAGTTTATCATTTCAAAAAGTAATAAGGGTGTGGTTAAGAATTCTCTGCATAAATTTCAACCACAAAATAACCAAAATTTTAAACATAATAACTGGCAAAAGTAACCGGAAAAGCACCCAAAATAAAAAGTTACAAACCAAAAGAATTTTAAACATAATAACTGGCAAAAGTAATGCTAAGAGTGGGAGAATGAACAAACATGTTTTCCACGTGGCAGAAGCCATCATTATATGAACAATTGCAGATTACAGAATTCTGATAGATAGAATTAGAGTCCAGGGAAGTGTTCCAGCTTGGGTCCGAGTCACATGGATTCAGGCTAAAGTTCCATCCTTTTTTCCCCAACTGATCAGCTATTTCAACAAGAGCACTCACTGAAATTTCCAATTTCAATTTAATTACTCAGCACGAACAAACACACTTGGATTGAAGAGTTTGGATATGGTTTGGAAGTCTTATAAACTTCCAAAAATCAATTCCCACACTAAAATGGTAAATTTGACATAATATATATTCTTCTCAGATGTTCTTAAGAGTTAACACGTTCTTGAATAACATAAATAAAGAATGCATGTTTATGGTCTTTAACAATTATGGAAACATTAAATTTGCACAAAGAAAACAGAGAACTTCCTAAACAATAAATGTTCAACAAAGAATTTAACTCCCAATTTTTTTTAAAAAATAAAGTTCCAATAAGTAATAAGAAGAAAAGCTTTACATTCTTTCTGGGGGATTGGAAGAGATGGAGTTTGAGCTCCAGTGGGTGTATCCATGAAGCAGAGAAGCAGCAAAAAGGGTGAGGTAATCCAACTGAGAAAAGCCTTCATCATCTCTGAAGAGCTGTGTGTATGTCTCTGTACTCACGGGTGGGAACCATGGACAAGAAATACACCATTAGAGAAATCTCATGGTTTACGTTGTATTAAGGAGGTTGGTCACAGAAGTTAATGATACAGGCTTAATGATGGATGTTGTAACGTTTTCTGTACATTATTAGGCTCTTTAGTTTGATTAAGGAAGATATTAAATGTAATTGATCACCCTTTATGGAAGATTCGAAATCGGACGGCTAACCTGTCTACAAAGCCGTCATGAGAGCATTAATTATCCTTTGTATAAATAGGATATCCTTCATTGTAAACAGTGGTTGATATTCGAATGATACACAAGTTTTCACTCTTATTCACTCACTTGTCATCTTTTTCATTGTTCTTGTTCGAAGCTCATTTTTCATATGCTTAAACATACACTCATGAAGAGTGAAGAGTGAAGAGTGAAGAAGCACGCCAGACAATCACGAGTGCATACATTGATATAGCACCTCATCTCGCGATTCACACCTTCTACATGGATCACATTTTATTTATTAATGTAGCTTTCATCCGCATTCCGTCTGTGTTATACGGGGTAATAATCTTTTGGAAAAAAAATGTTAAATTGGTCTTATTGTAAATTTTTAAATTCTAATTATTTTATATTTTTACTAATAAAGAATTATATATATTCATGGTCAAAGTTGTGCATCACCAAATGTGAAAAGTTAACCGTTGCACTAATTTAACAACAGGGGAAGTATACTCGTACCTCCCTCACAATATTGTTTATGAGACAATTTTAATATAACGGATCGAAAAAGAAGGATGGAACAATCTTAGTTTAGGGGGGATTGATTTTTCCCTAAAATAAGAAGAAGAAAAATCAATCGGTAGTATGGCTATATTGTAGCAATATATATTGTAGTTAAATTGTAGCTTCTTTTAGGGGAGATATATTTTCAAAAAAAGAAAATGAAACAATTAATTTGATATAACCCAAAAAGAAACCATGACAATCATTTTAATAAAAATCTTGGCATTATGACATTGTGTAACAAATATTACATTAATTACGCTTAGAAGGATATACGAGAAATATAGAAAAAATGATAAATAATGATAAAGGTACACGAATTTCAAAGTTGTAAATAAATGTGTTGTTTTGTACTCCCTCCGTTCCATAAAATAGTTTCCGGTTTCCTTTTTGGATCGTCCCAAAAAATAGTTCATATTTCCCTTTTTGGAAAGTTTTGTGTGACTCACATTTACGGAGTATTTACCTTTTTCTTACTCAAGCACAAACATACATTTCTAATTTATTCCCACTTTTTTAAACTCTGATCCTAATCAATGCGAGAACTATTTTATGGGACATCCGATCGGTGTTTGTGTACCCACTAATCAATGGAGGGAGTAAAATAAATATTTGTCTCAATCAAAACTGTTGCATGGTTGAAGCCTTCAAGGTGAATGAAATTGTCGTTTTCTTTGTCTTGCACAAGCATATGACTTTTTTTTTATTTTGATTTGTTACTCTACCATTTATTTTTTCCACCTTTTTCCAATTGAATTATGTTTGTTAGCTTAGCGTCCAAATCGTACACAATGACATCCAATCGGTGTTTGTGTACCCACTATTCATAAATATCTCGATCAAGCAGACAACCACTGAATGATCATTCTTTTGTAACTTTTGAATTTGTAATTTTGTATCTTTTGTACAATTATTCTATAATGACGTCCCTGTTGGACAATTGCACTCCCTTTATTTCCTTTTGGGAGAACTATTAAATAAACCCTTGAACTTTCATAAAAATACAAATAAGTCATTTTATAGGAGGCTCTGTCTGGCCGTAGCCATTTGGAGCGGTTTCCGGTGGATTTTTTTGATGAAATTTTTTGAGTATCTTCTTCATTAAGCCTAGTTTATTCATACCAAATTTCAGCTAAAAATTGAATTGGGAAGGCAGTCAAATGACTTTTTGAAGATAACTGCGCAGTTAGACAGCGCAATATATTTCAGAAAATCATTTGACAGTCTTCCCGGTTGAATTTTTAGCTGAAATTTGGTGTGAATAAACTAGACTTAATGAAGAAGATACTTAAAAATTACATCAATAAATTCCACCGGAAACCGCACCAAATGACGACGGCCGGACAGAGCCTCCTCTAAAAGGGCTTATTTGCACTTTTTATGAAAGTTCGAGGGCTTATTTGATAGTTCTCCCTTTCCTTTTTGTGACACTTGGTATATAGTTTAATGACTCTTTGGCAGTTAACGTCTGGATTTTTTTTAATTAACACCTGTTAATTAGGTTACAATATAAAACAATTAAACATTAAATTTGTTTTACCTTTGCTGAACTGATTTACAGGCCGGAGGTATATAAAGGAGTGGGGAAAATATTATATGCACATTATATTTTGTATACCATATGTTTTCAAAAAAATAAAAAATTGTTATACCATATGGAAAAATATTGAATTCATCGAAAGTTTTGGTATACCGATATTTTTAGTACGGCATTGTACTGTACCGAATTACTTCGATAAGTATCGGTTTATATTTTGAAATAATTGATATACCGATTTAACGTCTTACCGAAATCCAAGCCCTTAAAATTATAAAAGTGACTACAAACACATACTTAAGTGTAAATAACTTTTTATCCACGTTGTTTGAATTAATTGTACCTTTTTATGTGAGGCTGCTATTATGTTATTTATATTTTTGTTGTTTAAGTTACATTAGGAGAAATATAAATGGCTTTGTATCTATGTCTAATTCTAAGGCCGGTGATCGAAATGAGAGTATTAGTCTCATGAACGTGTTTATAAAAGAAGTTACATTAGGAGAATGTGTTTTTTCATATTCCGTATGTTGAAATGTTGAAACATACTTATAATAATTCTTATTCATAATTGAATAGGAAATACGTTATTATTAGTATTTTGTATTAAAGTTTAATTATAACATGGTATTTTACTGATACCGTAATATTAAAATTTAGGTATATCAAATCACGGTATATCGAAATTTCGACAAGATAACGGTATATTTTTTGCATATAAGTTTTGGGTACGTACGACAAAGGTATGAGATAAAGTATGATGTAGCCACTCCTAGATATATGTATTCTTATAAATTGTGTTTATATTGTTCTAGATATATTGTTCTTGCGTATGTAAATGACCATTTAAATTAGAGGTGGGCATAAAACCCGAACTGAACCGTCCTGTAATGGTAATGAATCAAATACCGAGTATTTAAACGATTCTATAGATTTTTATCCCGTACCGAAACCGTACCGTTTGAAACGGGTAGGGGACCCTTCCTAGATTTTGAGAACCGAAAAATACCGGACCAGACTATTCAAAAATAATGCATTTGAAATTTGTATATTTTTTCCATACCATTAATAAATCTCTTTTATAGACCAAGAATTTTATAAACCATGTATTTATTCACGAGTCTCTAAAATAGCTAAATGTGTGTGATTATATATATATATATATATATATATATATATATATATATTGTTATTTTTTCTTTTTAGAAAACTTATGTTCTATTTTGGTATGTATTGAAGGAATGTTAGAGTTTTAAAAATCATTAATGACTATTCATTTTTAGTAATATAGTGTATATGAATTTTTGTTGTATCATGTTTATGCAACTTTAGAACTTAATTAATATGGTTTAAATCTTAGCTCTATCTAAGGGTTCGACTATAAATTAAATTAGAACTACGGTGTAATATTTATCCTAGAACAAAGAAAAAGAATGTTATTATTATATTCGACAATTTGATGATATTCTTTTTATATTTTCACATGAACTTAGTAAATTAAAGATGATAGTTATCTTGTGTCATCATTTTTTTATAGTTTTTCTTAGTTATATTTCACTATTTATGTATTTGTGAATTTTAGTACTACGTAAGCAATTTCTTATATTTATATCAACATTTCATGTGAGTTGGTTGATGTAATGATGTCTAATAACTTTAAAATTTGTCCAAAATCTTTAACATGTGTTTGGCATTGTACCGTACCGTTTTATACCGTTCCGAAATGACATAGTATCGAATGGTTCCATCCTTAGAACTGGACCGTACCGGACCGTTAAAAATCTCACGGATACATTACGGGTTTTACTAATTTACCGGACCGTTCCCGCGCCCACTCCTAATTTAAATTAGTAATCTCGTATGTACTTCTACTATACCAATATCATATTTTATAATTTCACAAGCTCATCTAATTTGTCAATCATAATTAAAGGAATTTCAACCATTCTAAACCTTTTCAAGTGGATTCTACAAATTTGGAAAATGGATTTTAATGTTCTGGGAGATTTTTTTTTTCACTGGTCGTTTTATTCAAAAGGATCTCAGTCGTTTCTTGTTTTCCCTTTTTCCCACTTTCAACTTTAGCATCAATAATACTAGTAATGGACATCCATTAGAAATAAGGAAGGTGTATGATATTTGACTAAGAAAAGGATGAAATTACAAAACCTCATTTTTAGACTAGTTGGACGTCTTTGTCATCAAGGACGTGGATTGCCATCTGGGTGAGCTGGCAATCAATTTTAGCAATTGAAGAACTTGTTTACAAAAAAAAAATCTTTGATTTGTAATGCTAAAAATCAATAATTGAAATATTACAATTACTAAATCATCCATAGATTTGTAATGCTGGTCACACAAGACGGGACATCCTACCTCGATCACTATGTGAGCGTGCTACCCCAACCCCTGAATAAAAAGGATTCGGTGCCTGTCTCGTCTCAAATGGTACTTTATTTGATTACTTTCATATGAAAAAGATATTTTGGGCTGTGTGGTAATTACTTGTTGATTATTGTATGTTGGGTTACATTGGCGGAGGAGGGGGGGGCACCCTGGGCCATGGCCCAGTGCAATTCGGCCTAGTCTCCATTAGGAATAGTAATTTTTTTTTTTTTTAAGTAATGGCCCAGTGTATAAAAAAATTGGCCCAGTATCATTAAAACCTCCAGCCCAAAATCCAAATTTTATTCACTTATTCAGCCAACTGGAAGAACCGACCTTCGTAAGTGCAAAGTGCGTAACCTGCGACAGTGCGACCTGCGTGAATCGGCCACTCCGGCCAGGCCGCCACTCGCCACTTCGCCAGACGCCAGGGACTACGGCTGAAAAGCGGCTGTCCAGAGAAGACCGCCTCCGCCTCCGCCTGCTCTCCGCCTGCTCTCCGCCTCCGCCTGCTCTCCGCCTCCGCGGCTGTCCAGAGAAGACCGCAAAATCTGCAATTTTTAGGTATTTTTCTTACAATCTTACCCTAATTTCTTATATTAATAAATTACTAATTTGTAATTAGTTCCTTATTTGGGCTATTTTGTATGATTTTTAATTAGTTCATAGTTACTAATTTGAAATTAGTTGGATTTGGGAATTGGGATATTGTTTATTAGTAAATTGTTAATTGTGTTCCTAAATCAGTAATTCGTAATTTACTATCTATTATTTACTAAAGTATTACATATTTTGACGTTATAGAAAATAATGACCACTCCACAACAACCTCCCAAGAAAGCCAAAGTAGGCAAATCAACTCTGCATTCTTATTTTACCTCCAATGCTCCAACTACAAGTATACAAACTGAGAACCCGATTTCGAATGAGCATGAAGAATCTTCTAATGTTCAAAATCAAGCATCTTCTTCTGTGATTGAAATAGAACGGGATCCTGGTAAAAGAAGAAAAATATGTGATTGGCCTGTTAATAATAGAGATGAAGTTAGGCGGTTATATTTGGTTGCTGGGCCTTACCAACCAAAACTTCAGCGCTATCAAGGTCGAGAATATAAAGACAAAATTCGACGTTTTCAACCAAATTGGTTCAATGAATTTAATTGGTTGGAATATTCTCCGACAAGGCACAAAGCATATTGCTTTCCGTGCTTTCTATTTTGTGATAACATCCATGCCTCCAATACCTCTGCATTAGTCCATATTGGATTTGATAGCTGGAAGAGAGTTCATCAAGGCAAAGAATGTGTATTTTTTCTTCACACAGGTACATCACCTTATTCTTATCATAATAAATGTGTGACGTATGCTACTTCCCTAATGACTCCAGCTCAGCATATTGATAAAGTGATTGAGAGAAATCAAGTGGCGGTAGATCTTGAACATTATTACCGCTTTGAATATTTTACCCAATCCATAGATTATCAAGTGGCGGAGTTGAATTCAAGATTTTGTGAGAAATCAGTTAGACTACTTGAGCTCAGTGTGGCATTGGATCCGAGAAACTCCTTTGAATCATTTAATGCTGATCATATTTATAATCTTGCAGTGGAGTTTTATCCTGATGATTTTGAGCAACACGAGAGAAATGCTTTAAAGAGTGAACTGACATTTTATCATATTCATGTGGCTCAGAACACTCAATTCCAAGTTCCTACTCTTTCGCATTTATGTGAAATGTTGGTGAAAACAAGAAAGGCAGACGATTTCAAAATGTTGACAAGATTGATACGTCTTGTGTTAACATTACCGGTTTCCACGGCTACAACCGAGAGAGCATTTTCAGCAATGAAACATGTCAAGACGGCAATTCGCAACAAAATGGCTGATGAATTTCTTGCTGATAGTTTGACAATCTTCATTGAGAGGGAACTTGTCAGTACAATAGATATTGACTCTCTTATCGATGAGTTTGCTAAAGTAAAAGACCGTAGAGTGCAATTGACTTTTTAGTTTGAATGTTTGATGCACTAAATTTCTAGTAGTTTTGTTGTAAAAACATTTGTGATGCACTTGAACATAATTTTATTACTACACTTATATTTAAGAATTTTTTTAGTTCAATTCCGACCCAGCCCTTTATAGTGTCCTGGCTCCGCCCCTGTTAGGTTAGATGATTGCAACGTCCTCTCAGGGTTAAAAGAAATGATACATAAACTTACTATTTAAAAAATTGCAATATAATAGTTGTTTGCTTAAGAAATAACCCTGATAAAATCTTAAATATAACTAAAATTTAACTCCAAATAAAAACTCAATAAAATCTAGTCATCACCAGCAAATGTGATAACCACATGGATCCAAGAATTTATTCACACTTCAAATCCTTAAATAAAATAAAGTAATAATAATCTTTTTATTCTAACAACTGTGTCAGATTTTCACTTCTCCAGCTCAGACCACGTTCATACAGCACACACACCAAAGCACCACCGGAAGGGACAAGAACACTCAGACCAGCCCAGCCATCTCAACGCACGCCAAAGGTCAGAAAAGGGGAAGCACAGAGAGAATACCACAGAGGGACCGGAATGGAGAAGAGACAGAAGTCTCTCTCACCTCTCTCTTAACCTCACTCTCTCTCTAACCGAAGACCTCTACGTCAACCAAAGGCGTAGAGGAGCTTAAGTACCCGGGCAAGAGGGGAAGCCCTAAAGGAGGGTTCCAGAAGAAGGGCTAGCGGCAGAACAACATGGGCCAGGGCAAGAGGTAAGCAAACAGGCCCAACAAAGAAAGGAGAGGGCTGCCTTGGCCCGTGGGGCCAATACCTCCACACTCTCCACCTTATTGGCCATTGATGGATAGTCTACCCGGGGGTATATATCCGAAGGGTTATTGCTGAGAATAACTTAGAGAGAAGTCAGAGCACAAGTAAATAAGAGAGAGAGTGTATTCAGTCTGAATGTCATGGTCACAAATGGGGAAATGGGGTGCTATTTATAGTAGCAATAAATGCCGGACAGGGACACGTGTCAAGCGCCCATTGGCCGAGGGGTCACTTCAACTGGTTGGCGTAGGGAGCCGCATGTGGCCGCATTTAATGCGGCTGTTGGATGGGACGTCAGTACAGGGTACGGTGATCTGTACGCATGTGAGGCGGATATCATGTCGGGAGAGGTGCCTTCGGCTATAGGGCGGCAGCCGAGGGCTCCTCAAACCGATGGCCCCCTGGTGCCGAGGGCTCCTGGTGCCGAGGGCTACTGTTTTTGCCGTTTTCTCCCAGTTTCTTAGTTTGCTTGAGAACCCCGTTCTGTAAGAGTTCAGAGCCTTCGGCCAGGGGGCCGAAGGCACCCCTGGCGCGTAGTGCGGGCTGCTTGGTACTCTGGGCGCTGTGATTTGGGCCTGTTGAGCCTTCTGGGCCTGTTGGGCCTTTGCTGGAGTAGTAGGAGTCTGTGGGCCAGGGGTTCCCGGGCCATATACTCCATCAGGAGTCCCTCACTCCTTTTGCCGAAAGGTATTTGAGGGAAAAGGAGTAATTTGTGCTTGCCCTTTGATGTTGTCCTGTTGTAATCTCTGAAGTTGGTGAGGAGTTGTTGTTTTCATGTCCCTGCCGAAGGCAGTCCCTCAGTTACCCACATGTCGGGACTTGAGGGCTTGCTTTGTCGTTTGTTGGAATTTCACTAATTTTGTAATTTAATGATTTTCCCGAGGGGGTTCCCCAGTCCCCCACTCCTTGAGACACTTGTAAAGTGGTGAAAAGGAGTAGAGTAGTTGCGTTGCTGTTGTGGGCCGAAGGCTGACGCTTTTCGTTTCATTTTGGGGGGATGCCTCGTTAAAAACCTCATTAGAAAAAACCCTGTGGGAAAAAATCCTAATGAGGGAAAAAGAGTGCACCGAATTCCCCCAATGATGAATCGAAAATGTGAAACCTTGGTCAAAAATGGAGAATAACGGTAATGCCGAAGGCTCTTCTTCTTCTGAGGGCTCATGTGTTGATTGGCCGAAGGCTTGCTGTTGATGTCCTGGGGGGCGCCGAAGGGGAGCCCCTCAATCTGGGGATCGAGGGCCTGATTGATGAGGGCAGCAGTGGAGTTGTTTACCGGGGGGTCCACTGTTCGTCGATTAGTTGGTGATGAAGATACCCGAGGGCTCCCATTACCTGTGTGCCATAGGCTATCCGTCAATGAGGCAACTCCCCGGGGGCTACCCGGTTCTTACAGTGCTGAGAGGGAATTCCCGAGGGGTGCCCTAATATGAAGCCTTGGGTTTCTGAAGGAGTGATCCCGAAGGCGTCTGTTATGTGCTGTGTGGGGCACAACCCGGGGGTGTCTCTGGGTAAGTGTACCCGGAGGCTCTCCTTGATGTAGCGGGGTGAAGTAGAAAACCCGGGGGCTTCCAGAATATAGCCGTTGGAAATATAGCCGTTGGAATATGTAACGTCAGGATATAGCCGTTGGGGGGGACACGTGGCGCGTGATGGTTGGCTGTCCGTGGGCGTCATCACTGGTTGGGCGAAGACGCGGTGTGTAATGATGGCGGTCCATCCGGAGGCCCGGAATCCAGGCCCAAGCCCAGATTCCATCGCCTATAAATACCCCAAGGCCAGAGCCCTTTCTTCTTGTGCGATTATCTGTTTTAGCGAAGCTCTGCCAAAAATTCTAGAGAGAGAAACTCAAGCCTTCGGTAAACACTCAGCTTTCAAGGTCAGTTCCCCCCTGCCTTTCTCCTTCTAGTTTAGTTGTGCCTTGTGCCCCTAGGTTAGGAGATAGAATTTTCTAGGAAACCCTACTTTTCCCGAGCCTTCGAATTAGTGAGCAGATGTCATCACAGAGCGACTCCCAGGATATCTCGGGGGAGCCTTCGGTAGAGATGGAGACATGCTCAGATGTGGAGTCGTCGAGCGTGGAGTCCTCGGCGGGTGGTGATGCCGCCGTGGCCATGGAAGTGGAGAAGGACCTCCAGGCCGAAGTCGAAGCCGAGGGCTTCGAGCAAGAAAACGAGGACGAAGAGCTTGCCATCGTCGTGCAAACCGCCGAGCAAAAAGAGGAGAGGGAGAGGCTGAAGGTGACGGTTACCATTCCTCCCCCCGGGGTGCCAGGGAAGCCAGCTCCTCCCGGCCATTGGACCCGACGCCCATCAGTGTGGCTCCCGGGAAGAAAAACAAGATGAAGGCGGCCCCGAGGAAGAAGCAAGCGGCAGTTGATGCTGGGCGGCCGGTGGGCATACCCGAGGGCCATTCGTTCCTGAACACTGCCGCTCTAGAGCTGAGGACGAGGGCGTCCCCGGCAGAATACCAATCCACCCAGATGCTGGTTGGCCCTTTGGCGCGCGTGGTGGAGCCCAGGGCGGATGATTTGCTGCGATATGCGCCCAAAGGGTGTTTTGCTGTTCACACTCTCTCGGTGGAGATGGGGCTTCGGTTTCCGCTTCATCCTTTTCTCTTGGAGTATTTGAGGTTTGTGGGGTTGGCCCCCTGCCAGCTAACGCCCAACAGCCACTCCTATGTGGCCGGCTTCCTCTCCTTGTGTCAGAGCCGGGGGGTTGAGCCCACACTTGATCAATTCTTCATGTCCTTCAACCTCTGCCGGGGGGGACATTCAAATGCTGAGGGCTTTGCCAACCTTCAGCAGGTACCGGAGTTCCGGCTTTTTGATGATGTGCCCTCGTCCCACAAGGGGTGGAAGGAGAGGTTTTGCTACATTCGCCTCGAGGAGAACCCCTTCCCGGTCCAGCTCCGCAATAGCTTCCGGCGCCATCCGAAGGTGGGGAGCGCAGCTCTGGAGAAGAATGGCAAAGTGCTTGCCAAGAAGCCGGAGGGGTCTGACAAGCACGTCAAGATCAGAGACGTCACCCTCCCAGAGGAATTGCTTAGCCTGGGCTTCCGGCAGTTCAGGCCGAGGGGCTCTTCGGATGAGAGATACCCTCCCCTCGATCGGGTCTTCGAAGGAGCTGGAGGTGATCACCGAATGGTTCACTGATGCGTTGATAGTTCTCTCTTATTCCCCATTTTTTTATGATGTAGTAACTGGTAGCCTTCGATCTAACCCTCTTGTGTTTTTTTTTGTTGCTTGCAGGTAACAATATGGACGTCGGTTCCCTCTTCGCTCTGAAGAACGCGAAAGGGAAGAAGAAGGCCCCGGCGGGCGCTTCTGCCAGGGAGGGGCCCTCTCAAACTGCTGTCGTCGCTGCTGGCGCCGGAGGGTCCAAGGATGCCGGGCCCGTAAAAAAGAAGAACGCCGGTAAGGGGACCGAGCCCCCGGCCAAGAAGCCGAAGACTACCGCCCCTACCAAACAGCCGATCACCGATGTGGTGGTGATCGTTGACGAAGGGCACGCCTCTGCCTCCACCCCCCAGGAACAAATCAATCAGGAGTTCTTTGGGCGGGAGAGGTTGGAGGCGTTAGTACCGAAGGGAGCCTCCGTGTTGGAGGGCAGTCTGAACCCTTCGGCTCTGATGAGCCAGATGCTGCCGTCGGCCGACCGACTAGCCCTTGCCCGGTTGGACGAGGGATCCCTCGAGGCGAAGGTCCTCCTGAATGCTGCCTCCGTAAGTCACCCCCCCCCCCCCTCTTTGTTCATTGTTGTGTTTTCCTTCTGTACTATGTTCGTTGTGCCTTATTCTTGCCTTCGTGAATTGCAGAGCTTTATGGGCCTCTGCGAGCACCTCCGGAGGGTGGATCAAATGAGGGAGGCCAAGGGTGTAGCCGAGGGGGAAGCCGCCCTCCTCAGGAAGAAGCTTGCTGAAGCCGAGGACTCTCTTCGTCTGGCCACCGACGGCATGGAGCAGAGGGTGCAGGCTGCAAGGGCCGAAGGGGTTAATGAGGGACTGGCCAAGGCCGGGGAGGCCACCGCCGAGGCCGCCCGCATTGCTGCTGATGAAGCCCGCGCGGCTCAAGAAGAGGCCGTCTCCAAGGCCCGAGAGGACGCGGTGACCAGTTTCACAGCCGAGGGGTGGAGGGCTGAAGACCGGAGGGAGTGGCTTGCTTCGGTGGTGGTGGCTTCAGTGGACGAGTGGGTCAGAGGCCCTGGAAAGATGTGGCTTGCTGAGAGGGGCGACTCGTACTACCAAGGCGGGGAGTTCTTCACCCAACGCCTTATCTACCGGAAGCTTGCGAAGCACTTTCAGGTGGCACCGGAGGAGTTCCGTCCAGAGGCTTATGGCCTCCCCCCCCCCCCCCCTCGCCAGCCAGATATCAGGATCCCGCTCCCCGAGGGGGAAGAGAGGCCAGTTCTTGAAGACTCGGAGACCCTCCGGGAGTGCGGGCTTGGGGGTGAAGAGGATGAAGCCGAGAGCGAGACAATATCCACAGTCCCCCCTTCTTGAATTGTATTCCCCCCTTTTGTGTTGTAATTGTTGGCCTCGGCCTCCTTTGTAAAGTACAATTAAACTTCCCCTTTTTTGAATGAATGAGTACGTATGCCCTCGGGCCTTTGATATATAATATGCTTCCTTTTGATTTGTTCATTGTCGAATATATGCCCTCGTCTTGTTTTGGATGTATGCCTTTGCTCCTTTGAATGTATGTTTTAGGACTTAGGATATTTTCTGATTGTAGCTTGAATACGGTTGTAGCCTTCGGCAGTTGGGCACCCTTGGCTGGATATACAACCGAGGGCTCAGCAGCAATTAGGACTTAGAAAATTTTCCTCAGTGTTGATTCCTTGTGTACTGTAGCCTTCGATTGATAGGTAGCCTTCGGCTATTAGGTCCCTTAAGATGAGGGTGAAATATGTAGGACTTAGAAAGATTTCTAAGTGTAGATTTTCCCTTGGGAGCCTTCGGGATATGGCATCCCTTCTTGATGTATAGGTAGTTGACCGGCGGAAAAATATGTAGGACTTAGAATAATTTCTAAGTGTAGATTTTCCCTTGGGAGCCTTCGGGATATGGCATCCCTTCTTGATGTATAAGTAGTTGACCGGCGGAAAAATATGTAGGACTTAGAATAATTTCTAAGCGTGGATTTTCCCTCGGGAGCCTTCGGGAGATGGCATCCCTTCTTGATGCATAGCCTTCGACTGTCATATTCATTTAGCTGTAATATTGATTGGGCCGGGGGCCCATCTTTAGGACCTAGAATTTTTTTAAGTGTTGTTGTATTGCGTAGCCTTCGGCTACCATATTCCCTTGGTTGTAATATTGATTGGGCCGAGGGCCCAATCTTTAGGACTTAGAATTTTCTCCAAGTGCTGCTTCCTTGTGTCGCCTTCGGGTGATAGGTGCCCTCTGACTCTACATCACTTTGCGAGATGCCCGGGGCTACTCCTTTAGGACTTAGAATATTTTTTAAACGTAAAGTGATGTCGAGCTTCCGGGTGTAGAGCCCTCCGGGTATATGAACGGGACCCTTCGGGTGATCGTGGGCCCCTTGAGTTGTATGAGCATTTGATCGAGGGCCAAATATGTGGAACTTAGCAAAATTTCACAGTGTGTCGTAGATGTTGGACCTTCGGTCGGCGAGGAGTCTGTCCGAGGGGCAAATATTTTGGAATAATCCCCCTCGGTTGGCTTTTGATGATTTGTAATATATGCCTTCGGTTGTCTGGTGATATATTAGCCTCCGGTTGCCGTCATTTTCCAAAAGTGTGGACTTAGGAAAAGTGTGGAACCCTGTTGTTGTGAAGAAAGCCAATGATGAGTGTGTGCCCTCGGCATACACTCTGAAAAGTTGTAGAGTTTGACTTAGCCAGTTGTGTCCCTTGTAATGGGGTAGGGGCCCTCGGTATTAGTGCATAACAGATGCCTTCGGCGTTTGAAGTACCATTTAGTGGACCTTGGATAGTCCAGTCCCTTTGTATTGTTGAAGCCTTCGGTGCTCGTGTGACCGGAGGTGACTAGGCAGTGGACTTAGCCGTTTCTTGATGATATTTGTTTGAGTAGTATCCTTCGGGAAATAGGAGCCTTCAATTACCGGAGGTGTTCCCGTGGGGAGCCCTCGGCATGTTGTGATCTGTTGGAGTGTACTCTTTGATTTCTCGCTGAGTCTACTCCCCTGCACCCCCCTTTTTTTTTGGTTGGTGGTGAAGGGAAGGCATCAAGAAACTTGGTTTCTTGGTAAGGCTAGGCTTATTAGGAGACCATCAGAATACACCAATGACTCTCCTCCCTCGGGTTAACCTTCCGAGTTCCGAGGGGATCGAGGTTCGTTTCCTGGGCACAAGATATGGTGGTCCGTAACCTGCCTCCCCTTGGGGGATGGCGCGGAAAGCGCCTCATTTTTGAAAGTCGTCCCCTCGGCGCTAGACATAGTTCGTGGCCTGCCACACCCTTGGGGTGGTGGCGCGGGGAGCGTTTCGGTTTGGAAGTCGAATCCTGGGCATTTCTCGTGCCTGTCATACCCTTGGGGTGATGACGCGGATAGCGTTCCGTTTTTGAAAGTCGAATCCTGGGCATTTCTCATGCCTGTCATACCCTGGGGGTAGTGACGCGGAAAGCGTTTCAAGGAAGGGTTTTCATTTGCACACTAGTTGCAAATGGCCGGGGGCACTATGTGCCGCCGGCACCGATGGTGGCGCCTTCGGTATATGCGTCCTCGTGGGGTACGGCTTTTAGAAACAACACTTGGTGTTAGTTTCGATGTGTAGCCCCCGGTACTTGGTACCGAGGGGTGTTCTGTAGGAACACTTGGTGTTCTCTTTTGTTGCAGTTGATGGAGGTGTCTACCCTCGGTACTTGGTACCGAAGGGTCTTCGAACAAGACACTTGGTGTTTTGATTGGAGTGTTTGGTGCCGGAGGGCCCTCGGAGGAAACACTTGGTGTTTCCCAACAGATGTTTGGAAGTCGATAGGAGGGCATATCTCTGGCACTGGGTGCCGAGGGGTCTTCTTTGAAACATTTGGTGTTTTTCTTTGTTTTGATGTTGATGATGGAGGTGTACCCTCGGCACTGAGTGCCGAAGGGTCTCCTGTGGGAACACTTGGTGTTCTTATCTTTGATTTTGAGGGCGGAGATGTGTGCCCCCGGTACTTGGTACCGAGGGGTCTTGACTGAGAGCACATGGGGCCTGTAGTTGGTATGAGGGCTTGGCCGCTCATAAGTGTTTTGTTCTTGGTGTCTTGAATGTATCTTCATTCCTCAAAAGTGGAGGCCTTGGGCCAAAGGATAGTACGTTCATTAGTTATGAGGGCTTGGCCGCTCTTACATTATTGGTAAAATTTAACTAAATGGTGTACATTCCAGTGCCTGGGGACCTCTTTTCCATTGGTGCGTTTGAGCTTGTAAGTTCCAGGTTTGATGATGGCTGCTATGATGTAGGGGCCTTCGAATTTTGGTGCCATTTTTCCTCCCTCGGTTGGTTGGCTCGCTTCCCTCCTCCGGAGGACATAGTCCCCCACTTGGAATTCTCTGGTGCGGACTTTGGCGTCGATATAGCTTTTGACTTGCCTTCGGTAATTTTCTGCCCGGATGAAGGCCTGCTCCCGGCGTTCTGAAATGAGGTGGAGGTCGAGGGCCATGTTGCTGTCGTTGACCTCGGGGTCATATTGGATCACCCTTCGGGTGGGAAGGGTGACTTCTGTAGGAGCTTTGGCTTCAAAACCGTAGCAAAGGGAGAAGGGTGTTTCACCTGTTGCTCGCCGAGGGGTGGTGCGGTAGGCCCAAAGGATGTTGTGGAGTTCTTCCACCCAGCCACCGCCCTCGGCCTCCAGCTTCTTTTTGAGGCCCTCGAGCAAGGTCCGGTTGGCATTCTCTACTTGCCCGTTGCCTTGAGGGTAGGCAACGGAGGAGAAGGTGTGCTTGATGCCCCATGCCTCCAGAAGGGCACAGAAGGGGACTGCCTCAAATTGTGTCCCATTGTCGGAGATGATCTGCTGGGGGACGCCAAACCTTGTGAGGATGTTCTTGAGGACGAAGTGACGGCACTTCGCCTCCGTGATGCTGGCGAGGGGTTCAGCCTCCACCCACTTGGTAAAGTAGTCGATGGCCACAATGATGTATCTGTTGTTGGAGGTACCCCTCGGCAGAGGGCCCACAAGGTCTATCCCCCATCGAGAAAAGGGGACGGATGTGCTGATGGGGGCATAGTTGACCGCTGGCCTGCCGGGGGCTTTCAGGAAATTTTGACATGCGGTGCACCTCCGGGCAAGGTCAGCACAATCTCTGGCCATAGTTGGCCAGAAGTAGCCCTGGAGAATGAGCCTTCGGGACATGGAGAAGGGTCCTTGGTGAGCTGAGCAAGTGCCACTGTGCACTTCCTCCATTGCGACCTCGGCCTCATCTTGATGAAGGCATCGAAGTAGCGTGCCACTGTAAGATCGTTTGTAGAGCCTTCCATCTTCGATGGTGTAGCTAGGAGCCCTCAGGTAGCTGCCCTGTGGAAATGAAGGCAGTGATATCTGAGATCCAATCCTCTTGGCGTTGTATGTTCATAACGGGGCTTGCATGGATACTTGAGAGGCTGAGTTCCTCAATTTTGGCAATTTTGGAGATGTGCTCGGGGGAGTCGACCGAGAGTTTAGATAATATGTCGGCCTCAGAGTTCTGAGCCCTCGGTATTTGAGTGAGGGAGTGTGCCTCAAATACCTTAAGCAACTCCTTGGCCGCTTCCTTGTACTGTTTCATTCTTGCCTCCTTGGCCTCATATTCTTCGGAGATTTGACCAACGACCAACTTGGAGTCGCATTTGATGTGGATCTGCCGAGCCCTCATGTTGGCAGCCAGCCGAAGGCCACATAGGAGGGCCTCATATTCGGCCTCGTTGTTTGAGACTTTGAAGGAAAAGCGGATTGCATAGTAGGCTCTGAAGCCCTCGGGAGTAATGAGGACTACCCCTCCCCCGCATGCTTTGGTCGCGGAGGAGCCATCGGTGTATAGGGTCCACCAGTCGTCCAAGGTAGCCGAGGGCTCCCCGTCCCTGGCTGCCCTTGCGGTACACTCCGTCACAAAGTCCGCCAGGGCTTGGCCCTTGATGGCAGGCCTTGGATGGATGTCGATGTTGTACTGGCTCAAGAAGATAGCCCATTTCACCATGCGGGAGGAGCTGGTGGGGCTCCTCATGAGGGCGCCGAGGGGTTGATGAGTGAGGACCTGGACCGGGTGAGTTTGAAAGTAGTGGCCCAATTTCTTGACAGTCCAAACGATGGCTAACACCGTTTTTTCCACAGGGGAGTACCTGAGCTCGGCCTCCCTTAAGGTCTTGTTAACGTAGAAGATGGCATGTTGGATGCCGTCTTCCTCCCGGATGAGCACAGAGCTGATGGCCGCCGGGCAGACCCCAAGGTAGAGGTAGAGGGTCTCCCCTACCTTGGGTTTGGAGAGCACAGGAGGTGAAGATAGATATCGTTTGAGCTCGTCGAAAGCCCCCTGGCATTCTGGAGTCCATAGAAAGCCAGTCGTCTTCCTCATGATCTGGAAGAAGGGTAGAGACTTCTCCGATGACTTAGATAGAAAGCGGTTGAGGGCTGCCAGGCGGCCCGTCAACCGTTGAACTTCCTTCACGTTGCGTGGGGGT